AGTATCTTGCTAGTCGGCCCTGCTGGCTCTCCAAACACCTGAACAATGCCTGCATCCAATCAGATTATTCAGGTATTTTGAGAGCCAGCGGGGCCGACTAGCAAGATACTGAAGCTTGGCCCAGTGGAAGATTCCTCCATCCACATAGTTTAGCGTAGATGGAGGAATCTGTTGCACTATTTCCATCTGACCATAGAAAATCTGCAGGTGTATGACCAGCTTAAGACAGGGGTGGGCAAACTCTAGCCCTCCACCTGGGGTGAAACTACAAATCCCATGATGCATCTGTCTCTGGGAATCATGCCTGTGGCTGTGAGAATCTTGCAATGCCTCATGGGATTTGCAGTTCCACAACAGATGGAGGGTTGGAGTTTGCCCACCTGCCCTAAGACTTCCAGATGTGAAGGAGCAGAGGGAAGCCAGTCATACACCAGTAGATTTTTTTGATTGTTTATGGGGCTGTTTATGGCGAGTGCACCTATACATGGTTCCCTAGGGTTCAAGGTTCAACAAAGAAAAAAAAAAAAAAATCTAACATCATCCTGTTATTCCTCCTTCCTTCTTGTCATTCCTCCATCTAGGGTGGATGTAGGAATTTCCTGCTGTGACTATTGCAAATTGACAGTCGCCTGCCAAAATACCTGAACAGCGCCTGCATCCAGCAGAAGTTGTTCAGCCAACAATTTTCCACCCGGCTCCTTCAATTTTTCAATCAAAGAATGTCGGGTGGTAGGCAGCAGACAGGGGCAGCCACTGAGTTCATTTCAGCCGGTTCATCAAGAACTGGACACAATTCAAAATGTGTGTAGCCAGCTTTAAAAATGATGACAGGCAGATATTGCTGCTGGAGTATCCAAGACATTAAAAAAGAAGACAATGCCCCACCAGGCTCCATCTACCTCTAAAATTCTGCCGCTGGATGGACTGACCTTTTAAAAAGCAAAATAAGTAAATATTTAGAAACATTTTTTAAAAAGACATCATGAACTCCAACTGCCCAGCTTTTTCCTAACATGCAAAACCTGCAGAGCGTGCAAAGCTGTTGTGTCATGTGACTTGAGGGTTGTGATAAGAATTCTGCTTCACTTGGCTAAAGAGGTCTGTTTTCCCATTCATATTGGGACGCTGGATTCTGCAGACAAAAGGTAACACATTGTGCAATGTTTATCCGGCTAAATCATCCGCTTCATAAGCCCTGGTTCATCCCTAGGAGTTTTTGAGCAGCTCCAAAAGCGCTTTTAACTGCCCAACACAAGAAATCCCATCATTTTCAATGGCCCTGGTTCACACCTGAGCAGTAAAGCGCCAGACGCCTGAAAAGATACAGGAGCTTCTTTGGGAAGTTAAAAGCGCTTTTCCTCCCCATAGACTTTATTGGAAATGCCCAAAAACGCGCGACAGAAGCATGTTGCACATTTTCGTGAGCGTTTTTGCACGTTTATACGCGCATTCTTCCATTGCCCACAATGGTTTATGAGCCGCCAATCAAAATGCGCGTCTTCATGTACGCGCGTTACGACAGGCATATAAATGTGCACAACGCGCAAATAACCGCATGCTGCTAGCCTGGTGCTGTCTAGGTGTGAACCAGGGCTTATACTTTTATTACCTTGGTGGCATGGCGTTACCAGAAGGAAAAGGATAATGTGATACCATCTCATTAATCACCATCGCAAAACCAAACAAATGACATCAAAAAGTTACACCAAACATAAACATGGAAGTGTTTGACGGATGGACAGCTATCGATTCTGTGGAATGGGACGGCACAGGACAAAGAGGGAATATTACAAGGCACTGAGACTGTGTTCATCCTTTTAATTGAATCCTCACTTCCTCTTTTTAGCAATGTTCGATATACAGTACGCGGTGAAAGGTGACTCAGCTGACGTCTACTTGTGAGCCAGTTTACATTTGACCCACATATGTTTTTAAAGGGCACATGTACTAAGAACAATATGGAGGATGCTACTGTTCACTGCGTGAAATTTCCTTACTGCCTGGCTGCCTGTGGCTTCAATGATTTAGGTCAATGGCCTGAAACAAGCAGCGAGAGCAAGCAAGAGCGGTGCTGATTTGCAGATCAATGAGAGCTTGTTTATACCATGCCCATTGAGCTGCGTTTTTCTGCACAACACTGCACATGCAAAAAAAAAAGAAGACTTGTCAAAAACAGGGCCACGCACAGCTGGAATTTCAAGCGGAACTCTGGGGAAAAGGAGTACGGATGCACCGATACCTGTTTTTCAGTATCGAGTACCGATATTTTTTTCTCAGTACTCGCCGATACAGAATACCGATACCGGAAGTCCCATTAAGGAAGCCGGGTGGTGTGTAATGATTGGCCAGCTTCCCGACCAATCAGGAAGCTGGGAGGTAAGTCATTACACACCGCCTGGCTTCCTGATTAGCGGCTCCATGCTACCTCACCACCAGGTCATGAGGAATAAGGATAGGCTCGGGTGTGTTCGCAGCGCCACGTGCCGAGCCCCCCAGGAAGCAGCGCCAATCACAGGCACTGAGACATTTCCCGATCTCTGCAGCTGCGGATCGGGAAAATGTCTCAGTGCCTGTGATTGGCGGGCTCGGCACGTGGAGCTGATGGCTTTCAGGCCAATGACTTGCTGCCTGGCTTCTTCATTGGCCAGCTTCTCAACCAATCAGGAAGCCGGGCAGCGAGTCATTACATGCCGTGATTAGCCGGAAAGCCAGCTCCATGCTCCCTCGTCACCAAGGCCAGTAAGGAAGCTGGGCAGCGTGTAATGACTCGCCGCCCGGCTTCCTGATACCGGAAGTTCCGGTGTCGGGAATAGTATCGGAGCATTTGGGCGAGGAGTATGAGCACTCGCCAAAATACTCGGTATCGGCACCGATACTAGAATCTGTATCGGTGCATCCCTAAAAATTAGTATTAGCCCTTGGAGTGGGGCTACCCCCACACTGCAAGGGTTAACTGCTTATTTTGGTCTAGGGAGGAAAAAAAAAGTTATACTCACCCGTTCCTCTGAGCTTGCTGTAACAGCGCTCCCTCCAGCGTGTCTTCTCCTACACTCCAGCAATGGTATGTCCCCCGGCGTCCTCAGATGTACAGAACATGACAATTTACGGGACCTTAGAGACGTGAAGTGGAGGGAGAGAGAGAGAGAGGCTCCAGGGACCGGGTTTGTTGAGGATCAGGTGAGTATAACTTTGTTATTTTCCTACCTAGACCAAAATGAACAGTTAACCTTTGCAGTGCCGGGGCAGGACCACTGCAAGGGTTAATAAAAGTTCTTCTTTAAGCTGAAGACAAGCTGGATGGACATTGTTGCAGTCGCATTGCATTACACACGTTACATGCGTTGCATTAAGGCAGCCCATTCATTTCTAACGAGCTGTCAACACACAGCAATGCAAATCCCTTGTGTGCTTATACATGCATGACCAATAAGGCTGATTCTGATTTCACCGATCTAACCAGTAAATGTGACTCATTGCCATGGTTACCAAGTCATGAGGTGGGAATATTTCCCGGAAAGGTAGCAGCCATTGCTTTAGCGAGGAGATTGCCTGGTAGGTGCTGCATACGCTGGCCATACACTAAACAACCTGAGTGTACAATCTCACTATTTGTATTCAGTCATTCAGGACTTTGCATTCCATAGCTGGTGGTAGATTTGATGGGGATATTACAGATTGTATCGTGTATAGGCGGCCATAGACTGATGTACAGGTCAGGTAAGCAGGGCTCAGAGCATTCTGCTTCTCAGGAGCAGCTCAGCCCTGGGATAGTGCAATAAGAATGGAATAATACTCACATGGCCCCCCAGCAGAGGAGAAGTCTCATCCTGGGCAGACACCTGGTGCCCATATTCCGTATTAATGCTGTACCCTGAGGTGGGCATTGTGCTCTGGTGGGCAGCAGCAGGTTAATAATCCAGAGCCGTCATAGACAGCAGCACTCAGCTCCCTGTACACAGCTGTGTGTGAAGTCACCTGATCCTCTCCCTGGAGCCGCTTCCTGTTTACTGGCTTGTCATGTGACATCGGCCGCACGCAGCTTTTACGTCACTCGGCTGCCCTCACTGCCCGTAGTCGCCGGCAGATGACGTATGCCAAGCATGGCGAAGGAGAAGCATGAGGTGAGAGGTGCTAGCTGAGCCGGTAACCGGGCTGTGGTGGCCAGGCAGTATTTCACAGCATGCTTAGGAGGGTTGAGGCGAGGGATGGAGGAGATTATACAGACATATATGGCGATCAGAATGTTACATTGTATACTAATTACAATCAACAATCATGATAGGATGGCACAAGGTGTATGCAAAGACAAACTTTTTTTGTTTTTGTTTTTTTAGATTGGAATGGAGTAGGGAATGGTCAGAATCCATGTCAGGATTTTCTTGCTGGTGATCATTATTACCGAAACTGATGGGAAAAATGAAAAGGAATGATTTGTCACCAGAACAGGTATAGAGGGGAAATCTTCCAGTGGGGACACTTGTTCTAGTGACTAAGAGGAGATTTGCCTCACTTCCTGTTGGGTTTACAGGACAGGAAGTTAAATCTCCCCACTGGATGCAAATGAGAGAACCTAATCCATCCAAGAATGAAAAAAAAATGTTTTGGCTTTAAATATCCTTCAAACACAGTAACTTGAAATAAAGAGAGAACAGACCATAGACATTAAAAGGTGCAGTCTGCCGTGCTATGCCTTTCATACAGAACTCCCTTAAATATGAGCCGTCGGCTGAGTATTCCTGTTTATTGATGTGGGTTGAGAAGGCCTGTCCCATCAGTGTGTATGGAGGGTGTCAGCCCTACCCTGAAAACATGGGACCTGTGGTATGGAGGGGGGTTATCTTCTCATACTTTGACTCATTCCATGCCACAGTATTGAAGCCACTGGATCATCATAATGACCAACTTGCATTTTCAGATAGAGGTCGGCAGTGGCAGGCTCCTGTATTTTTTGCACAATAATATTAAACCATCCCTTTTTTACCCCCC